TATTTTTAAATTTATATTTTATTCAAAAATAAAATATTTAAAAACATATAAAATCGTATTATAACATCGACAGAGATAAATAATAAAATAAAATATTAAAATCGAGATATGACTTGCTGGATTGCACGAATAATCTTCTAGTAATTTATTAATAAAAATGTCGAAAATGCTCCATCAGATATGTTTTGTGGTTCACTTTGGAAGCGGTTATTTTGGCAACTACACAAAAGTAAAGGGGTTGAAAAGTGAAATAAATGAGGAAATGATTCATCAAAAACGATACAATTAAATCACACACTTTGAAACAGAGTGTGTGTGTGTGAAGGCTTTCAGCTTCTCTCTCTTCTCTCGGAAGTGACACAAAACGGACCTCATGCAAAAGCAAAACCCCTTCTTCCCCTCATAAAACCCTTCAGAAGGTATGCCTTCTGCTCTCCAATGGCGTCTCCCTCACAACACTGTCCATCTAGTTCCCTGAAAGCACTTGTTGCCTTTCGCAACCTCATCTGTCCAGGTAAACAACAATGCCGTTCAAACTTTCAGATTCTGTGGTCCAGTAGTTTGGCCAAATCTCGATTCTTCAAACGGGTTTCTATGGGGTTTCAACTTCTTCTTTACCGTACGTGTTTGTGCATTACGAGACACAACAACGCGAAAGCATTCGATTCTCGTCAACCGATGTTAAATGCAATTTCAATTTTCAAACCCTCGGCGCCAGGGTTGTTCAATTTGTGTTGTAAGTAGATAGTTTATTCTATAATTTGACGTAATTTGTGTTGGTTTTTGTTGTTTACAGAGCTGATTAGGACGGTGCATCTGTACCGATCGGAGGGAGGAGGGGAAGAAGTGGAGGTGGAAAGAGAGTATGTGTTTCACAAGGAAGGGGATTATGAGGAGATTAGCTTCTGTAAAGTGTTTACCTTGCAGAAATTTGAAATTTCTTCACATTTCGAAGGGCTTGTGAATGGTGTGTGGCTCTGCATTTATGTTTTCGACGCTGCCTGTTGTTCGCCTGCTGACATCGACCGACTCCCTACTGTTCTTACGATATCTAGGTAAACTCATTACTGTTATTGTTCACACACTTTACCAAAATTAAAGTTTATATTTGTCTTTAAATTTGGTACATTTTATTATGATTATAAAGAGGAAAGTACCGTAGTAATTGCAGTACATTAAGCTACCAAAAAGCACAATAGTAGAAAATTTCAATCCAAGTTACCAAAAATATTAATGCAAAATTTTGAATTTGTAAAACATCAGGGTTTAATTTTCAAAACTAAAGAATGGTTCTGATTGTTGACATGCAGGGAGTGTGATTCTTTAATCCTTTCTGAGTCTTGAATTTATCTCTTGCCTTTCAGTCTGTGGTCTTCTCTGTTGTTTTGGGTCAGCAGGTTGGCTTAATGTTCAAGTTTCTTGTGTTTGGTTCTGTTCTTTCCATGTTTAATAATATTTTTTAACTGTTTAAAAGAAAATTCAATCCTCTCTGTAAATTGGTTTCAGGATTTTAAGTATACATACTGGCTATAACATGTTGGACCAAATGTGTCCTTGTATTTACATGTGTGAATTGGAGAATAGGTTTTGGTATTAGTAATTAAATGTTTTTGGTGTCTCTAGAATCTTTGTGTTAGTAATTCCAATATGTACCAATGGAGAAAACTATTTTGTTTAATTATACATTTGAAGATTGAACAACATAGGATGTGAATTTGTTTTGTAATAGAGATATCATTATAGTAATTGGATGCCAATCGCCACAAGGTTTGGGGTTTCAAGCCCGTAAACAAAGTTATAATAGTGAATTGAATGTTGATGTTAGCAATAAGGTGATTTGACCATGAATCATAGATGTATGGTTCTCTCTGGATGTGGAAATGTTAGCAGTCCATGTTTTGAAGTGTCTCGCTGATTGACACAAGTTCAGGTGTAAAAGGCGAACTTCTGCGTGGCCATATATTGGTTAATGTAACTCTAAGGAGAAGTTCTGCAATGAAATATATTCCAGATAGAGATTAATAAATTGTCTAATGAGAAATAAAAGCATGTACTTCTGCTCAAGATGTCTTGTTCAACATCATACTCTTAAGAGGATCATCCTTTCTAATTATTTAGTGCTAAAGAATATATTTTTCTACATGTTGTCTATCGATGTTCATCTCTCCTTTTGGTTATGTATTTAGAAACTTTAAAACATGGTTTACTTGGAACCTGTTTTCCTATCCTCTTGCATTTGCTCAGCTGGTGCAAGGCTATGAATAATGGCCTTCTGTTACAATCTTTTCAAAGTACAATAATGAATAATCATCGACCCATATTTAGGATGCAATTATTTTTAATTACAGAAATGTCCAGGACCTTACATCTAAAAGGTAACAAGTACCTGAAACAGGCTTTGCTGCTTTCTTCTTGCATTTATTATATTATATTGCCTGTTGCTAGAGAGAAATGTAGAATGTTTGAGATGGTAAGAAGATAGAAGTGAAATTCTATTTCCAATTGATTTATGGTTTATGGCATTTTTTGAGGGCTACCATTTTCTTCAAAGTTGATTCTTTGTGTAAATGATGTCAGCATGATCAAGCTTAGCACACAACAACAGCTATCTGCTTTCTTGGCCACATTTACAAATTCTGTGTAGTGCAGGGAGAGTTCTTTTAAGTGGATGACTGGTCTGTTGGGGGGCATGCATGTAAGTTCTTGTGATTGAGTGGCTTGCTCTCAAGTCCACCTAGTTTTTGTTGATTAAGGGCTTGTTTGTTAGCAGCTTAATGAGCAGCTTATTCGGTCAGCTATATATGACTGTTTGGTAGTGGCTTAATGATATTGAAAGTGGCTTATTCAATAAGCTTTTAGGGGGAGCTTTATGCAGAAAGCCAAGTTTTTTCCAAACCTGCCCCTCCCAGTTAAAAAACATGCTTCTTTCATATATGAAAGAGCCCTCCCAAACAAAAACCTTCCAATCCATACAAGTAGATTAATCCACGCAAACAGTTTTATCCATACTGGACTTGATGGAAGACCAACCAAACAGCCCCTAAGTGAATATACACTAAGGTGGAGTTTGCTGACAGTATTTCCTCTAAAATTGGAGCTGTTCCAAGTTGAAACAGGTAGTGGGTCTCTGAAGGATCTATTAAGTGTTGCATAGAAATAGCTATGCTTCAAATAGCTTGTATAAAAGAGCATGTAGTCTTCTTGGTGGTGTGCATGTAAGCTAGCTAGGTGCAAGTAGTCTCACCTCTCGACTACCGTGGAGTGTACAAATGAGCCAACAGTTGTACTTCTTTTTGTGCCTGATAACTTTTTCTCCCAATGGTCTTCCTCATTTGGGTTCTCAACCTACATTTCCAGATTTCCTTGAATGTTTGGATTGTGGTGATTGGCTACCTAAACGAAAATAATTTGAATCTAGTTACAAGAAGGTAATTTTGACACTTACTTCTCTAAGATGGTATTTAGAAACGATTGTTTATATTGCAATTGCAAAGTTGTGTTTAAAAAACATGATACTTCTATCTTGAATATGAGAAAAGCCATCCTGAAATTATAAAGCATTTCAGGCAGAACAAGAGATTACAATCAATGTATTGATCCAACGAAAGTATGTTCCTTCAAAATCTGTGAGGATGTTTGACCTGGAAGTGCTTACATGTTACCCTTTTACCCTTTTACCCTTTTGAACCTTGTAATTATAGTAGTAAGTGTTTACTTGTACATACGAACGATAAAGATGTGAGGTGCGACTTCAGTAGAAATATTACTTGAATATAAGCTAAATGCAGTTCATGCATAGAAGTTTACTTGCTTTATGATGTTAAACTACTGTTTTCTTATCCTTTATCAGCAACATGACTGCTTGGTTGACATTATAATGTGATTTATAATTTTCAGGAATCGCAAGCTGGACTCAATCCCAACATTGGCTAATGACCTTCAAACAGTTACTCATTTGAGCAGTGAAGTTATTAAACAATGTAAAAGTGAATCTGAGGAAGACAAAGAAAATCGGTATAAGAATCATCACATTTGTGATCTGGATCTAAATTCTCTTCCTTCTGGATTATCAGAAAATGAAGAAAGTGATCAAAGTACCACAGGTTTGATTCACAAAATATTTTCCACTTGCGACTGAACAACATATTTCATATGTATGCACCATAAGATTAATTATTTGGCCCATTAATCTTTAGCAGTAAGGGAACGTTCTCAGTAACTTGACCTATAGAGTATTGCCGTAAACCAAATGTTCATTACAACTCCACATTTTATAGTGATTGCCAAAAGGTTCTACACAAAAAGGGTCGACAGCCAATAAAGAATAGATGGATAATGATTAAGGATCAATTTTAATTATTGGGTTATAAATACATTGTTGGAACCTTCTTTTCCAAATATTTTGCACCCTTTCATATGCCTTCTCTAAATCAAAAACTTCATACGCAAATCATTTTTTGTCTCATCTCTCCATGAGTCTTTTTGATGTTTGTGGCATAAGATCAAATTGATTTTTCGACACCTTAGTCTCAACTTTTATATCAATACTCAATAACCCACCTTAGTAGTTTCATTGGATGGCTATAAGCTTGACCCTTTGATAGAAAAACATTTGTTGTATATTGGGTTGAAACACGTTCCTTCATTGGACATTCTTGTAATTAAAAGGATAACATCAAATGATCTAGTAAGCCAGGAGGGCTATTGAACCCTGGAGCTTTACCTACATTCATCTATCATGGTTCTTCCTTTGGTATGTAGAAACCTTCCATTAGTATCATCAAAATAGTCTTCAAGTCATCCCCCTTACACCCCTTAATTTTTGCTCAACAGCTTCACAAACATATCTTTCTATTGTCTTCTAACTTCATCATTTTGACCAGAAGTCTCTTGTTATTGTCCTTGATGCATTTCATTTGACTTGTATCTATTTTTTCGTTCTTATCTTAGTCAACTTGTATATACCATTCCCGCTTCTTTAGTCCCTAGTCCCATGGGTAAATTGGTAAATTTCCGTCAGCATCTTTTGAAAAAGGGAAATATTGTATTTTCTGAGACAATCATTTGGCTTGCCACTAATGAACCAATATTCCAATCATCCAGTTGTATCCTACTCTTTCGAATGTGTTAGCCTCCACTTCCTCTCAAACATTGCTTCACCTACTACCCATTGAATGAGATATAAGATGCCTTTAGACCATCCTTGAGATCTATAAGGATTCCTTTATGATCATTCTTCGGAGGAGATTTGTATTTGGGTTTGACCTAAGCCGTCTCTAAGATTTCCAAAGCTGGTGTCAGCCTAGCAAGGTCTTCATTCGGAGATCAATTTTTCTATTTTCTAGTTGAAAGTCAAGGAACACACTGATGATATCATCGATGAAAGCTTGGTAAGTTACTAAACTACCAACGTCATTAAAACCCTAAAACCTTCCACGATTATTTCACCCACCCGTCCACGTACCAAACACACCCTAAGAGCTCTCTCACTGGCTACATAGAATCACATAAGGCTGTGGTTAATTGTATAATGTAGTTTAATTATGCGATTATGGTTAAGTTTGTTATCTAACATGTTGCGATCACTTTAGATGGTTCAAGGAAGAAGAAACGGAGAGCAGCGACTAAAGACATAGCTAGCCTGGGTTTAGAAGATCTAGCCAAGTACTTTGACCTTCCCATCATCGAAGCTTCAAAAAATCTGAAAGTCGGACTGACCGTTCTCAAGAAGAAATGCCGAGAGTTTGGCATTCCGCGTTGGCCACATAGAAAGATCAAATCACTAGACGGTCTCATTTCTGATCTCCAGGTTGGTATCTGTTAACTATACCGTAGAATTGGGGCATAATGAGATGCATCAAACAACATGTGATGATTGAATTTGAAAATGGTGTAGGAAGAGGTAAAACGACAAGAAGAGGAGGACGCGGGTGCGGCACTGGCGGTGGCGAAGCGGCAGAAAATGATAGAAAGTGAGAAAGAAAGGATAGAGAAGAAGCCATTTATGGATATCCAGAGAGAGACCAAGAAATTCAGGCAAGATATATTTAAGAAAAGGCATAGAGCTAGAGTTCTTGAAAGCCAATGCAGAACCTTGTCATTGTTTTAGACCCATCATCATAACATTTACTACTATTATCATGCATCCCATCTAACTCTAATGGACATTCTAGATTTCTTTCCCTCCAAATAAAGTTTATATTGTTCTTTTTCGTTTGAATTTATCGTCCTTTTGTTTAAATTTTTTCGTTGCTTTTTAGAAGATTCGGGTCCCAAATAGCTCCCCTCCACTAACATGACGACCACCACGATGGTCGCTGCCACCACCAATCAATATCGTCATTCCACCATTGCCACCTCCACCCACCATCCCCACTATGCCACTATTGTTCGCCGTCACAACTGCTATCCACCCCGACCCTAACACCATCATACAACTATTGTCATCATTACGATCGCCACCACACCCCTTGACACATGCGATTTCAATTTACTTGTGAGATTTATTGCAATTCCCGCGGTTCAAACGTGTGGTCAAATTCTATTCCGATTTCTTTAATTTTTTTTTAATAAATTCTCACTAAATTCCATGATGTGAATCATATCTCATCCAAAACCCTTTGTTATGAAAGGTATGCAAACATTCTAAGGTGGGATATCTTTGATTTTGATTGAGTTGCTCATGCATTTATGAAACAAATCTAGTGTTTGATGCAATGTCATCATGGAACACTACTTTCCCATAATGGTTTTCTTTTTCTTTTTTTTATAATAATTTTTGTTTTGAAAATGTCTGAAAATCTAATCTACTTTCAAAATCTTTCAGTGTAAATCTTTGGATATTAAAAAAAAAAATCCTTGAACTTACTGAAATTAAATAAATAAATCCTTAAATTTATTGAAATCGAACAAATAAATCTTTATGCTTGCTAAAACTTTAAAAACCCAATAAATTTTCATATTTTAAACGATGAAGTCCTTGAGCATTTATACTCGTTAAACGAAAAATATGCCATTTTTGACTTGATTTATTATCAACAAGTAAGTAGAATAGTAGAAAGAATCGATAAAATGATAGAAATGTACTGCTTTTAGTTTTTTGTTGGTATTTATTTATTTTTCAGATTCAAATGACAATGATAGGCGTTTGTTATGATTTCGTGAACTATTTGAACACGGAAATTAAATAATTAGTAGTTTCTCATGTGATTATTATTTAAATATGAACAATAAATAATTGCCGATGGAAATAATACATAATCATTTCATTTTATTAGTTTTTTGTATATCTATTGATAAATTAAGAGACAAATTGTATATTTCTTTCACTTTATGAGTGTAAGGAAATATTCGTTCAATAAAATGTCTAAATACTTAATCACTCAAAATGTAGAAGTTTGTTAGGTGTTTTTTTTTTTCATTTTAATAATTTCAATAATTTATTTATTTATTTAAAAAATAAAAATTTAATCACTCAAATTACAATTTTTTTTTTTAATTTTTTGCTTATATCCTTCCTCATGAAACGCTTGTTGTGGGTGCTCTTGGCATCGTACTTTTTTTTCTTTCGAAACACATCTCTTGTCACCGTTGCAACAGCGCCACCGACTACCACAACCCATCTGGTTAAGCATATGCATGGAAGTGGGGCGGGGACCTAATCTCCATCCCCGTCCCTGATCCCTCATTTATGTCTTCGTTTCAATTTCCATCCCCGGCCGAGAATATGATTACATCTCCATCCTCAACGGAAAACGCCAAAAATGGGGATCCCCAACGGGTAAACGAGGAATTTTTCATGAATATGTAAGACACCACACATGTTTAAATTTCACAAATTTCCAGTAAACCTAAAATCAAAAGAAAATTTAATTTAATACAAAAAAGATCATATCATATGATAATTAATAAGCTAAAACCAAAAGAAATTCAATTTAATAATAAAAAAACTTAACGTCACACGTATTAAAACATATCGAGTAATATCTAGAACCATATTGACTAATATATCGAATAATTGTATTTTAAAATAACACTTGCATACCAATTTTCCATTTATAGGGTCATTTTGGTATTTAACGAGATAAATAATCGAAATGAGGTCAAGGTTTGCATTTTACAAAATACAAACAAACTTAATAAAAGGCTCATAAAATTATTATGAAGAAAATTATTTCTGGAAATTCGAGGGATTAAATGCTAATTTCTGAAATTTAAATATTTAATGCTTATTAATAATATCAATGTATAAAAATAACAAAACTAACAGCTAGCTTACTAGTTATCGCTTCAAACCCTTAAGGGCTGAGGTTGTGGGTTTGAATCCTGCCCTCGTCACCCTTATTCCCATTTTTAAAAGCGTTAAACAGGTGTGGCTCTTGGTTCTGACCCGTCCGACCCGGCTCGTTACCCACACGCTACACGATGTGGAGCTTTTCAACCTCGAAAATAGCTCGTTTCTTGACCCTTTTTTCCATTCTTTTTGCGCCAAACTCTTGGTAATATTTTTACCAATACTTTGACATAAAGAACACGAATTTTCATCAAGAAATGAGTTTCATTTACTCATTTAAAGCTTGTTTTTAAACTAAAACTTAACAACTTAAAAACATAAAAATTGAACAACGAAAATTGAAATATGAGACATGAGGCTACTGGGGTTTGATAGAGTACTTAAAAACGAAGTCATGGACATAAAAATCAAGAGATTTGGTTAAGAATCTCATCCAAAATCGGTGAAAAACTAAGATTTTCGATTACGAACTTCAAACTTAGATTTCTCTCTCAAAACTCAACGATTATACTAGCTACTTGACTTCAAACGTTCCTAAGCCAGAGCTCTACAATTTATATGCCAAGAGTTTTGGTTTATTAGTTGAAGAAATCGGACAAATCGCGAGTTTTATGCTGATGGGTCGTTTTCTTTAAACATATTTGTACTATTGGCAAAACAGGTCCCTTAACTTTGAAAAAAATGACATTTTCTTCTTTGAACTTTCTGATATTTATAATTAAACCCCTCCTGATGTGATATATCACATTTTTTAGTCCAATAATAAAAGAAAACAATTCTATTTTATTTTCATTTTTGTCTTTCTTTTTATTATTTATTTATTTAAGATTTATATTTTATAATCTTTAATTAATTACGTAAATATTTTTACATTTCAAATAAATTTAATAAAAAATAAATTTAAAAGCCCATGTAATATTATTTATATATTTAATAATAAAAAATGGGTTTTACACCCATCCCCATCCTCGGTTTAGCAGGGAATCCCCATCATTGACGGGGGCGGGTGGAGCGGGTTCCACGACGGGTTAGAGCACAAAGGCCATTCATGTTCTTAGTTAACCAAAAACTCCAGGTCTTGTTTAGTTTACAGGATTGAAATGTATTTGGATTTGAAATCCAAAACCAATCCACTTATGGTTTGAAGGATTTCCTAGATTTGAAATCTTGGTTTTTATTGAATTCCTTCAAACACAGAATTTTAAAATCCCACGAGGTGTCTGGTATTTCACAGAATTTCATAAATTTATATGTAATAATGTTTTAAAACATGCTCAAAATATTTGTTTTATAATAATTAAAATAAAGTAATTCAGTTATTTTTATAATTTATATGAAATATATATAAAGAATGGAATACAATTCCTTTCAAAATACTACGAATAAAACACACTAAAAATACCCCTCAAATAAATACCCCTTAAAAAAACGATACCAAAAATACCCCTTAAATAAATATCTTTGGAGGTAGGCTTTTCATATATGAATATAGGATCGATCGATGTTAGCAGTGATCAACTTTTTGTCCAAATAAAAAATAAATATTAACAAATATCAGTAATCCAAAATATTAATCAAAGTTAATATATAATTATATATAATCTTGATTCTAAGAATTATTATTACCATCTAATATACAAGGGTTGTGGCGTAGTGGTTGAGGTCTTGAGGGATGTGATGGAATATTCTTTATGTCTAGGGTTCGATTCCAACAGTACACAACAATTGTGACTACTGGGTTTAGCAGGGCTAATTTCGTATAGTCATAATTTATCGGAATTATTCTATACATAACCTGAGATACTCTTTTAAACATAAATTAATTTAGTTTAAGGACCGAACTTGTTAAGAAATCACAAGATAAGGGAACTTTTTATAATTTACTCATTTTATGAACAATTTATGTTGACAATAAGTTGTTAAATGTTAATCAAAGTGATGACAAATGCATGGTCGACTCTTCAAAGACTTTTTAAAAAGACTGTTTGGTAGTTGTTGAATGATATGATGCAAAATTATTAAGTGGTTAGAATAATTAAAAGACTCTCATGATATAGTGTAAAATGAGATATAATTGTTTACGATGAAATTAAAACGCTGAATGGTTAAAGAAGACCCATTATACAAAATCATTAAGTGGGTTTTAGACCCATTAAGAAGCAATTTTTTTTTTACCAAACAAGATTCAATTCATAATGATTCTGAGACTGTCTTTTAATGAAACTATTAAGAAATAAACAAATAACCCAAAATTAAGTTAAAGTTGGTTAAAACTAACAACATTCCTTATAAATTATTTTAAATTAAAAAAATAAAGTTTTTGTTCTTTTTTTTTCCATTTCAAAATAAACGTCAACGATTGAAATGAAACACCGTTTTAAACATGCATAATTATTATACCTTTTTTGTTAACCAAATGACATGCTTACCCTTATTTAATTTCTCTCTGTTCACAACTGTTAAAATTTTGTGCATTAATTAAGAGTAAATTTGAGAATTTGGTTATTTACTTTTGAAAGTGAACACTTATTTTGAGATAAACATAAAATAGAAATATGAACACTTATTTTAAAACAACGAGAATATAACAAATTATTTATTTTGTTTTTTAAAATCGAGAAAACTTCAAGTTTTAAAGATTTCTATAATTTAAAGTAAAAATAAGAGAATTGATTTTTTTTTTATTCTTTCCCGTCAAAGAGATTGTATTATAACAGATTTAGCATAATTATTAAAGCAAACTTTTCTCAAACTCTAAAATTTCTAAAAACAATATAGATGTTGAAGATGTTCTAAAACCTGTATCTATTATTGAAAGAAGTTATCTGCATTATAACAAATTGCTGTAATAACCCCATTTCTCGTTAAAATAACCATTTCTTATAAGTTCGTTTGTTTGTTTATTGTTCGTTTG